GGGGTTCAGCGACGCCGGGCCGCGCGAAAAATACAAAGCCGGCCATCGCGACGAGGAGGAGGAGGAGGAGGAGGAGGAGGAGGAGGAGGAGGAGGAGGAGGAGGAGGAGGAGGAGGGGGAGGGGGAGGAGGAGGAGGAGGAAGAGGAGGGAGGGAGGAGGAGGAGAAGGGGGAGGGGGAAGAGGAGGAGGAGGAGGAGGAGGAGGAGGAGGAGGAGGAGGAGGCGGCGGAGCAGGATGCACCGCCCCGGGGATCGATCTTCGGGGACCTCGCCTCGGCAGGCGGTGGATGTGCACATGTTCGGGCCCTGGCCCGCCTCCTTGCAGAACTGGAGCGCTCCCTTTCATGAGGCGGCCCTGATCCCCTGTCTGGGGGCACGCTCTCCCCGATCCGTCGTGGATCCGGTGCCCACGCGCCAGATCCACGGCTCCCGGATCCGTTTTAGCTTTTGCCGGACGGATGTCCTTGGCATGATGAGGCTTGACCTGCAGCGGCGTTCTCTCACGAGGCCCCTCACGTCGCGAGGGCGCCTCGGCGGGTCAGGAGCACGAGGCGGGGTGTCTCCTCGGCCCGATTGCCAGGTCATGGGCATCGCGATGCGTCTGTCGAAGACGACTTGGGCACCGCTCAGACGCGTACATTGCTTCTCCCGGCGAGGACCACCGAGGAGCATCCTGGATCGTCCGGCAAACAAAACCACGCGCGAAATCGAAGAGAGGCACCGGGAACGGACGCCCGAGCGCTGGCGAGACGAAGAGTCGGCATTGCCACCAGCTTGTAGAGGTCCGCGCAGATCTCTTGGGTCGGCGCTGGGCCCCGCTGGCGGCGCCGCCGGCGCCGCGCCGCGCGCCAGCAGCGAGGTCCCGAGCGCCGACCTGCACGAAGTCCCCTGCAGACCTCTGGAAGATGTTTTGATTACGCAGCTCTTCCCTTTCTATGCTGGAAGCGGCCCTGTCCCCAAGGGTGGGGGAGGAGGGGGAGGAGGAGGAGGAGGAGGAGGAGGAGGAGGAGGAGGAGGAGGAGGAGGAGGAGGAGGAGGAGGAGGACGAGGAGGAGGAGGAGGAGGAGAAGGAGGAACGAGGAAGAGTGAAAAGGAGCTGAGAGTGAGGAGGAAGAAGGAGGAGGAGGAGGAAGACGGGGAGGAGGGTGGGAGGGGACCCGGGCACGCGCCTGGATGGCCCCAGGGGCTCCAAAGCGGTGCGAAGAGCCAAGGCGGGGGCACGTCGAGCCAGGGTCGCCCTTGCTCCTTGGATCGGGCGAAGAGGCGAGATAGGTCGGGGGTTGCGAAAGGTGCCCCTGGCCTTGGTGGGCCCTGCAAACGACAGGGCCGTTTTTTTACCGGTTCCGTTTTGCCGTTTTTTTGCCGGTTCCGACGCCGATTGTTTTACCGGTTCCGTCGCCGTTCTTTCACGGGTTCCCGTTCCGGTTTCAATCCTGGAGCCGTTTTTGTTGCCGTTTTTGGTCGTGGTTTTTTTGCCGTTTCCATTTTCAAAGGACATTTTTTCGGAAACAGTAAAAACACGGCCCTGCCGTTTCTGGGGCCTACTAAGCCCTTGGCCCAAGGTGCCCCCAGCTTTTCGCTGCATTTTGGAACCCTTTGGGCCCCCTGGGCCTCGCGAGAGGTCCTCTGGAGGCCGCGGGGGCATCCTTGGAAATCCTGGGGGCACCTTGGGCCAGGGGCGCTTCTGGCAAGACCAAAAGAGGGAAAATGGGGGGACGAATTCTGCTGCGTGCGTCTGGTTTCGGCCCCGCCGCCGGGCGCTTTGCGAGATGCGTTGGCGCCGGAAGGCGCCAGGAAAACCGGCTGCTTGAGCTGATGCCGCCGGCGCTGGCGCCGCCACCGCCGCCGTCGTCGTCGTCGTCGTCGTCGTCGTCATCGTCGTCGTCGTCGTCGATGTCTTCGACGTGCTCTGCATGGTTGGTTTGAGTGTGCACCGCGCAAACACCCCCTGACTGATTAACTGAAAGGTGACCGCCCTGGCGGCGGGTTCTAATTGCACCGTTCTGTAAACTACGAGTAGCCTCGACTCCCGTATAGTAGGCAGTCACTGGCCTTCATGTGTCATAGCCCCTTCTGCCGAGGAAAGTCGTCGTCGTCGTCGTAATAGTCGTCGTCGTAATCGTCGTAATCGTCGTCGTCGTCGTAATCGTAGTCGTCGTAATAGTCGTCGTCGTCGTCGTCGTCGTCGTCGTCGTCGTCGTCGTCGTCGTCGTCGTCGTCGTCGTCGTCGTTATCGTCGTCGTCGTCGTCGTCGTCGTCGTCGTTGTCGTTGCCGCCCCCGACCGCGGCCACGACGCTGGCGACGGTGGCGCGGCCCGCCGTTCCCCCCGCCGGCCCCCCAGACCATCGTCGGCCTGATCTGCTTCCCGGCGTGCGGGCCTCAGCGCCGAGCCTCTCCCAGGAAGGTCTGGGACGTGCATGCTCCTCCTCCTTCTCCTCCTCCTTCTCCTCCTCCTCCTCCTCCTCCTCCTCCTCCTCCTCCTCCCCCTATCCTCCTTCTCCTTCTCCTCCTTCTCCTCCTCCTCCTCCTCCTCCTCCTCCTCCTCCTCCTCCTCCTCCCCCTCCTCCCTGTCCTCCTCCTCCTTCACCTCCTCCGTAGCCATTTTGGCTCAAGCCATTTTGGCTCAAGGTTGAAACCTGCCCTGGGGCTTCAGCCTTGTTGCAGGCGACAGGGAGGCCCGAACCTTCCGAGGCCAGGACGCCTCTCACTTACCTGTCGTGCGCCCCAGCACGCTCCCAGTTTTGGCTCCAACGACGTGCTCTGCGGCGCCATGGGCCCTGCCACCTGCGACCGCCCGCACCCTGCTGCACATCGTCTCGATGGTGGTGATGACGCTGATACGGAGCTCGCCTCCTCTGGTGGCCGTGATTCCTCTGAGGAGCCACGCCGCTCTGCCTCTCGGAGCGGTGGCAGCCGAGGAGCCCGTCGTGCCGCTCGCGCTCGGCCGTCCTCCCACGGCACCGCTGGACCTGCTCCTGAGCCTCCTCGCCGTGCTCGCCGTGCTGGCCGTACTCGTGGCTCTGGCTGGGACGTCCCACCTTCTCCTGGTGCTGCTGCCTCGCATCGGGGCCCCGACCCTGCAGCACAGGGCGCATCTCGGGGTGCTGCCTCCAGCCATGGGGCTCAGGCTATGCCCCACGAGGAGTGGGATGATGCCAAGCGGGCACAAGTGGCTGCAGACCTGGAGATGGCCGCTACCTTCCCGTCGCAGGAGATGCGCCCCGACCCGCACGCCACCCCGCATGGCCCCGCTGCTGGGCACTTCGACCCATGGGCCGCGGCGGCAGGGGCTGGCGTTCTCTCGCGGGCTCAGGCTGCTGCTGGTGGTGCTGCTGACTGGGGTGATGAGGAGGAGCAAGCCGCCTTCACTCGGGCCTTTTACCATGCCGACATCTCCGCGAGATTCCTGCAGCTGCGCAGTGAGTTCGACAACATCGTTACCACGGCCGTCACCAACTCCGTCCAGCAGTCGAACGCCCCTATCTTGGCCACGCTCGCCACATTGCAGAAGCAGCTCTCCTCGCAGCACACCTCCATCGATCAGCAGGTCATGGCCTCGGTGCGCCCACAGTTCGATGCTATGCAGCGCCAGTTTCAAGAGCAGCATGATGCCCTCAGCCGTCGGGTCGATTACACCGAGCGGGACATCGAGGCCCACGCCACTCAGCTGGCTGAGCTACAGAAGCAGGTCGAGGAGCTTCGCCGCCAGAATGAGCTGGACCGACAGCTACCTTCGCGGCCACCTGCCCCGCCTGGCTTCGACCGCGAGATCGATCCGTCGCAGGTCATTGTGGTCTCGTCCAAGCTCGTCGGTCTGGCTGGCGTCCGTGAGGTGGTCAACTCTTTCATGGGTGAGCTCAACTTCTCTGAGGGTGACTCGTACACGATCAAGGCCCTCACGCCGCTTCCCTCAAAAAAGTTTGCCGTCTGCTTTTCTGGGCCGATCGGACTTGCCTCCCGCCGGGTGCAAAAGGCCCTTGCTAACCTCAAGACGGACGGCGCCTGGCGGGTCTTCCAGTGCCCTGCTCAAGGTGCTGATCCAGCCCGTCTTCACTTCGGTCCCGACAAGTCGCCGAAACAAGTTCGTGGCGAGATGCTCCTTCGTAAGGTCCGCTCTTCCCTCATGGAGATTGACAGCCAGAGGAGGTGGTATGTCGATCGGGAGCGGAGCGTTCTCAAGTCTGACTACACCGACATCCTTCGTCTTGTTCCACGGCCAGGTGACGAACCTCCTGAGATCTCTTGGAACGACGTGGGGATCCGCGCCCTTGGCCTTGACCGTCGGGACCTTCAGGGAGCCATTCGAAACGTCACCGCTGCGCCGACGGCCACCCAGTGGTGTCTTTGACGCCATTACTAGTATGTTTGTGCTTCCAGTGGGGCAGGTCGGCGGAGAGATCACAGCCAGCCTCACATTCATGACCTGGAATGCACGTGCTCTTCTTCAATTTGGTGGGGCGAGGGCCTCGCCTAAGCTATCTTACCTAAGCAGACTGCAGCCTGGGCGATCCATCTTGGCTCTCCAAGAAGTGCATGCAGATCGGTTTGAGTTGAACGACTTTGTGACAAGGCTTTCTTCCACGGCCATTGTTCACAGTAGCTTTTGTGAAGATGATGATGGAGAGGTTGTCCGCGGCTCTGGGGGAGTTGCCGTCATTCTTCCACCTTTCTCATCTACTTCGGTCAGTAGCTGTGCGGTGCCTCTGGTCAGAGGCAGGGTGCTTCGTGTTGATGTGGCACTTGGGCATACACAGCTGGTGATCTTCAACGTTCACAATCACGGCTTGACCAAGGGTGAGGTACAATCTGTCTGTGAGCAGATCGGTTGTGCTCTGCGTCGCGCTGCTGATAACCCCCTCTCGTACTTTGTGGTTGTCTTGGGGGACCTCAACTACAGTTTTGATTCTTCTCTTATCTTTCACCGACCTACTGATGTGCAGCGGCAGCAGACCCATGATCATAAGGTTCATGCTCCACTTTGGGCTGCTACACTTGGCAA